TTTGAGGCCAACCTAAGCAACAGAGCAAGACCCCCTTCTCAGGAAAACCAAACCAAAACAAACACCCACCCCCACCCCCTCACACCCCCCCCCCAAAAAAAAACAAAAAACATTAACAAAACTTCAACATGTTTTCTTAAACTGGAATTTGAAAATTGCTGAGGGTAGTCTCAGGGACCCATGAATTCTATTATTATTTTTTACTTTTTTTTTTTCATTTAGGTAAACATTTTAAAATAGCTTTATCATTCCAATAAGACTCAACTTAAACTTGGAATAACTCAGAACAAAGAGGGTACTGCTTATTAAACTTTAAAAATCATAGTAATAAACAGCTCCAATTGCTTTATGCAAAGAAAATCTGATCAAAACCTAAAAATTCAAAAGATAAGACCTTGCTTAAAACAAACAAACAAACAAACAAACAAACAAACAAAAAAAAAAAAACTGCACTGTTGCTTTCATCAAAAAACCCCAATAGGTGATGGGAAAACTCTTAGTACAAAAGGATAAAGTGCTAAACGCACTACCAAACTTTTTGAAAATTTTATAGGGCATAGCTTCTTATGGAGAAAAAAAAACCCAGAATAAATAAAAAGAGATGAATGAATGAGATTCCATATGATGAAATATTATTCAGAAATAAAAAGGAATTAAGTAATGGTACCTGCTACAGCATGGATAAACCTCAAAAACATCATGTCAAGTGAAAGGGACCGACAAGATCACACATCATATGATCCCATTCATGTGACATATGCATAACAGAAATCCACAGATAGAAAGTATAGTAGTGGCTGCCTGGGATGAGAGGGAGGTAAGGAAGAGGTGCCTACTAATGGATACAGGTTTTTTTCTTTTGGGTGATGAAAATGTTACCAAATTAGATCATAGTACTCATTTGTGTAGTTCTAAAAATAAATAGGACGCCCTTTATGGTATGTAAATCATGTTTCAATGAAGTGTTTTTAAAATCATGACTGCTGGCTTGAGGATGCAACTCAGCACTTGTCTAGCATGTGAGCCCCTGAGTTCAATCCCCAGCACCACACACACACACACACACACACACACACAGAAAAATGACAGCTATCCTGGCCCCACTTTTAACACAAAATGATGGAAAGTTATGCTTTTTAAGTGTGGAATGATCTAAAAAATTAAAAAGACAAGCCAACTGTCCAATCCTCTAGTTTAATACTCTATAGACAACTATACTGCAAGCAGAGTTTCCTAAGATACTGCTAAAATGACAACTGCCAGATGTTCTTATTAAACTACTTTTTGAAGAAGATCAAGAATACAATCCTAGGGGCTGGGGCTGGGGCTCATCGGTAGAGTGCTCTACCTGGCCCATGTGAGGCCCTGGGTTCGATCCCAGCACCACATATGAATAAATAAATAAATAAAATAAAGGTATTATGTCAACTACAATTAAAAAATATTTTTTAAAAAATATAATCCTAAAAAAAATAAAATATAACTGTACATGTTTTCTCAAAAAAAAAAAAAAATCCTTACAAGAACTCTTATTACTGGATTTCAATCTATTTCCTTCTTTTGTGTGTTGAAAATTAAATGTATCTGGATGTGGATGTATACATCTGTCCTGTTTCTGAACATCAGACCACGAATACACTATGGAGGCAAAACGTTAGTTTTCGGTTTAATGTGGTAACCACCTACCACACTTTGCTGCTTAGATTTCTAAGTATTTCCTATCTTAGAACATTATTATTAATTCAAGCTTTTGCTATATCGATTGAATACACATTTCTGGACTACCAGCTTCACCTCACACAAAAAGGAAATAAATTGAGAATGTAGTTCAGTGGTAGAGTGCTTGCCTAGTATGCACAAAAAAGAGAAACCCTAAGCTGAGAAAAACAACATTCTTGTCCAAAACACCACTAATAAGAGAAAAGGATGGGGGAAAGAAATTCCTAGAATTTTACGCAATTTATATGAAACAGAATAAGCTCATCTTTTTAAAAAAATATCTTTATTTTTATTTATTTTTATGTGGTGCTGGGGACCGAACCCAGGGCCTCACGCATTAGAGGCAAGCACTCTACCACTGAGCCCAATAATAAACTCATCTTTATTAGTATGACCATGCAATTTAGTTCTACCCAAAACAATACTTGGTGTTTCCCTATAAAGAATAATTAACATAAGTAAGTTGGGCTTTTTTGTAACAGAATGAGGAAGAAAATCAGGATGTGGTCAGCAAGGAAGTGGTAACATCATATTTGCATTTTATGATCCTAAGCAACCAGCTCATTCTCCTTGGCGTTTATCACTGAAGTCTATCTACTCCTCTCCCCACTTCTCTCTAGCAGGAGAAACAAACATGATCCATCATAAGGCTGAATGAGCCTTCCTTTCCTCTAAAAGCTGAATTTTATAAGAAAATGGCAGCATTTAATTGAATTAACTGCTGATGTAATCATGAAAATCCCATTGAAATAAATTTGAATAAACTGTAGAGGCAAATGTCCCCTCTGTCCCTCATGATTTCCTCTTATTATTTCCTCCAAGAATTATTTCCTAGTTAACCCTATACTACCAGATTACTTTCGTTCTACAATTTCTTATAATTCGAGCCCTCTTTATTTGCATAATGGTTTTCTGAAGGTGCTAAGTATGAAGAGTTTGTTTCCTCAACAAAATTAGAAACTACTTAATAAAATCTGTATATTCTAATAATTTCATATAAAATGATGTACACATGAGCAGCCTCCAATATCTAAACAGTGAATTTACTCTCTAAAGACATGAAACAAGTTCCAGAGATAATGACTCATTCACAAAGTAACTCAGATGTATCTTTTTTTTAATATTTATTTTTCAGTTATAGTTGATCACAATAGCTTTAATTTATTTATTAATTTTTATGTGGCGCTGAGGATGGAACCCACAGCCTCACACATGCTAGGTGAGTACCCTGCCACTGAGCCACAACTCCAGCCCCTCAGATGTATCTTTACTGTTTCATTCACTCATCACACTGAGCACCAGCTGTGTAAGCCCAGTCACTCTCCCACTCAAAAACTGCCCTCAACTCCTCTCTGCCTACCAGCTTCCTCATTTGACATTCAAAACAATTTCTCATATATCCGCATTCCAAGTTTTCCCAAATATTACTCATGTCTTTGCCTACACTATAAACAAGATATTAGCCACCATCCACAACCACCATCAGTTCAGTCTAGTAGATTAGCCTGTGAACAAGTAAATGAAACACTGTCTAACACAGTAAGTGTACAGGAAGCCATAACTGAAGGATGGACAAACACACTGTGGATGCAAAAATTCTAGGTGGATGCAATCATAAACAGAATAGATGAAGAATCAAATTTAAAAATGTTTTTGAGTTTTCAATGATGGACTGAGTTCTGCATACAGAGCTCTGCTCACATTCAGCATTTTTTAAAAACCACTTTTTTTGGTGGGGAGGGGGATATTGGAGATTGAACTCAGGGGCATTCAACCACTGAGCCATATCCCCAGCTCTATTTTGTATTTTATTTAGAGACAGGGTTTCACTGAGTTGCTTAGCACCTTGCCATTGCTGAGGCTGGCTTTGAACTCGAGATCCTCCTGTCTGAGCCCAGGAACCACTTTCCTTTATGAGTAAGGGTGGCCAACTTGTGGCATTATGGCTGGGAAAGAAGTGCAAAATGGTTGAGAGGAGCTAAAATGTCTGATCCGGAGTTCTCTTAGGGGCCAGAATTCTCAAACCACACATATAATGGTTGATTTTGTCTTGGTAGCTGACAAGGCCCTCTCCTCTCCTCTCCCACATTCTCTCTATGCTGCCTAGGCTGGCCTGGAACTCCTAAGCTCAAGCAATTGGCCAGCCTCAGCCTCTCGAGTAGCTGGGATCACAAGCAGGTGCCCCGACACCCAGCTCTTCCCATATTTTCTTGATATACTCTTTCTCTTCCCCTACTGGCTCCTCTGACAGTGGTGACCCCAACCCTCCTCTCTCAGATATCATTCCACAAAAGGGAGAGCTATGAAGGACAATAAATAAAACTAACATCTTTTTTTTTTTTTTAAAGAGAGAGAGAGAATTTTTTTAATATTTATTTTTTATTTTTTGGTGGACACATCTTTATTTTATTTTTATGTGGTGTTGAGGATCGAACCCAGAGCCCCGAGCATGCCCGGCGAGCACACTACCGCTTGAGCCACATCCCCAGCCCTAAAACTAACATCTTAAGCCCTTCTCTAATCTGGTACATCCCCCTGGCTTCAGAGGACAATCTCTCTAGAATTCATATGACAAGAGAAAATAATTTTTTTTTCGTAGAATCAGACATTTTTTTTTACCCTCATTCTATTTGTTGCAATAGGTATAAAGCACTAAAAACATAAGAGCATACATAGAAAATGCAAGTGAATGAGGTCTTCCTCCCAGAGACAAACATTACCATCTCTGTTTACCATGACTTTCACACAGGAATGGCTCAGACACATTGTTTCTGCATTTGTTTGTTTCGGGAAAGAACATGATCCAGGAACCAAAAAAAAAAAAAAAAACAATGTATAATGTGTCCAGGAGAAAACACACCAGAAGGACACAATCTTTCAGATAATTATAAACACAGCATGGGATAAATAGGAAGCATGAGCAGAGAGAGCATGGCTTTTGGCACTTCACATTCCTGTGGCCACAAACTAGCTGTGATACTAGGTATCTTCAGATGCCTGCTTAAATTGTGAATTTCAGCTTTCTAATCCATGAAAAAGGGATAGTGTTGCCAACTTCATTTCATTCATAGAGTAATTAAACTAAAAACATGTCAAATGCTTTGATTTCTCCACGCCTCTAATCTTGTTTCCAGCTTTCTTTGTAAAATGTTTTCACTTAACTGTATTTGGAATATTTATTTTATCACGTATCCAAATTTCTAAGGAAAAAAAATTGTGTGAAAATACTAACATTTTTATAAAAGAATTCTATTTAAAGAATCAAAGACTCTAACAATTACCTTTTGTTCTTCTCTTTCTGTTGCATGATGACACTTTTCAATTCTCCAGTGCCTCAGGAAATCCCGAAGATATCCAAAGAGGGTAAGCACCCCATAACCCACATATGTGAGCACGGCAACCAGCATGGGCGTTTCTTCAAAAGCTTCATTGAATGGTCTTTTATATAGTCCTCCATTTTCTGTAACATGATGGATCTAAAAGGGAAGTTAAAAATGTTTACTTCAATCATGAGAAGAAAAAGATACCTTGAAAACTGTATAGTCCAATGAAACTCTAAGATCTAAGTAGGGTCTACTTGTTTTAAATAGAAATAATTTAAAGGGCTGGGGTTGTATTTCAGTGGTAGAGTGCTTGCCTAGCAAATGTGAGACACTGGGTTTGATCCTCAGCACCACATAAAAAATAAATAAATAAAGATATTGTACCCATCTACAACTAAAATATATATAAAAAAAGAAATTTATAAATCATATGCACTTCACATGAAGAGTTAAAAAATGTGAAAAGAACTAACAATAGCTAACACTAGATTTTTTTATAATTGGATTTTCTGAAAGATTATAAAATGCTATTTCAGAAAACATAATTTTATTTGTTCTCATAAATAAAAGAGAAAGTTTACTCTGAAAACACTGTTATTAGCTAACCAATGAAATGACCAAAAGTTCAAAAGTAAATTAGGTTTTCCAAACAAAAATATTTGCAGATGTTTTACTACCATACATATTTAAGGCCACTCGTATCATTCCAAATAATTATCAGCACTAAGCTACTGTGGAAACACCTGGTTCTCATGAACCTTTGTCAGTGATAACAGGAGTAAGATATACACAAAACTCAAGTGCTTAGGTAAGTGTGGGCCAACACCGTAAGTAGAAGAAAGAAAGCCAGCTGCAGTGGCACGGCCAATTATTCCAGCTCCTTGAAACTTTAATCTTAATTTTACAACAGCTGGCTTTAATAAAGATAGTCAATCAAAATTATTAGGAGCAAGTGGGGCATGGTTGCCCATGCCTATAATCCCAGCAACATGGGAAACTGAGACAGGAAGGTGGCCAGCCTCAGTAACTTATCAAGACCTGTACTCAAAATAAAAAATAAAAAGGACTGGGGATGCGGCTCAGTGATAAAGCACCTCTGGATTCAATCCCCAGTACCATAAAAAAAAAAAAAAAATAGGAGCAAGTTGTCAATTAAGTATTATACTAGTTTTGAGCAGACTCTAAGGAATAAAAGATCCTTTCTTGCCCTCTCAGGCTATACAAATTGATTTTCACATATTAATACATATCAAGACACTTGAGAATATAACATTCTAGTAATGTTAGTTTTGGAAAGCTGCCAAAATGCTACCAAATTTAAGAGTTTGAAAAAAGACAAGAATTGTACTTGACAAAGGAAAAGCATTCAGATAGGCATGGAAGATGGAATTTGGAGGTGCTGATTTAATTTGTTGGTCTAAGTAAAAGAACTTCTGAGAACTATTTATAAAACTAAGTTAGGTATTCAGTAGTCTCTTCCCCCAAAGCCTGAAAGTTTGTATCAATATTTAATACTTAAACTTTCATGCAAGAATATAGTTGTAACATGTTTAGAAAAGAAATGCTAGAAATGAACCCATATCTAAAGATAGAATATCGTTTAAGCTGGGTACAGTGGCATGTGCCTATAGTCCCAGCTACTTGGGAGGCTGAGGCTTATCCTTATCATTAAAATGCCAGCAGAGTTACAGTGCTCCATCATCTCTAACCAATGTGCTGCCAACTTACATGCTGGGAATGCAGTGGGTGGATTTCTTGTAAAGAAATCTGCCTTTATTTCAGATACACCCAGAACTTCAAGAATAATAAATTCATACTGTAGGTTGGATTATCTAGGAAGCAATCAATTAAACCACTATGCTTTCCGTTTTCTTATTTAAAGTGCTCTACCACTGACCCGCACCCCCAGTCCATTATTTTGTTTTTAAATACTGTATCGTTCTATTAAAGTCTTACTTAAAATCAAGTGTTTTTAAAAGAACTAAGATTCAACTACAGAGTGACCTGGAGTGTGGCTTAAATGAAAACACTAGCAAACCTGATCATATAGTGCCAGAATGGACAGACCAGGTGATAGGCAAACTCTCACAGGAGAAAAAGTCTTAGAAGTCAGGAAGAACAAAATTATTTGTTCTGTTATATTTTACCTCTCACAAGATTCAAAATAAGGGTCTCACCATCTTAAAATATATATTAACCCATGAGGGAAAGCACCAGAACCATTTTGTACATTACTGTACCCATAGCATCCAGAAGAGTATTTATGGTTAACAAAGAATTAACACTTGCTTAATAACATTTCCTGTTATTACTATTACAGAAAATGACATCTCATAGGAACGCAGTAAATATGTGTAAATGTAAATATGCACCATGCTCTTTGCTCTTTCAAAACAAGTACCCTGGCAAAGAAGGGACTAAGTTACAGTGATCAATTAATAGGAGGGCGTTTCTAGAACCCAGAGCTGATGTGTTTTAGTCTCAAGCAGACTGTCAATGAAATCAGGCTAACTCTAAAATAGACATATGCTACAAACTCTTTCATGGTATTTCAAATTCTGGATTTAACAGGAGGTCTCTTAATAAGTCTTTCAGTCATTCTAACTTAATAGTTATAATATCAATAAGGTAATCAAAGAAAATACTAGTACATCACTCCCTCCAGGTTGGAGAATCAGTAAACAGAAATGCTCATGGTAAACAAACAAGAATGTGGTACTATGTTCCCATTATACAACACAAGGGAGATTTAAGAACTCCAATGAATGTCAAGGTATGTTCGCTTGAACAGTAATTTTACTAATCAAGAAAATGTGACCCAGGCACGGTGGCACACTCCTATAACCCCAGTGGCTCAGGAGGCTGAGGCAGGAGGATTGCAAGTTCAAAGCCAGTCTCAGCAATAGCAAGGCACTAAGCAACTCGGTGAGACCCTACCTCTAAATAAAAGCACAAAATAGGGCTGGAGATGTGGCTCAGTTGAGTGCCCCTGAGTTCAATCCCTGGTAGCCAAAAAAATAAAAAAATAAAATAAAAAGGTAAAGGAAGAAACTTTCTAAGTCAACACTACAAGCACACTACCATAAAACACACTATTCTACTGGTGGTGCACACCTGTAATCCCAGTGCTTGGGAGACTGAGGCAGGTGGATGGTGAGTTAAAAGCCAGCCTTAGCAAAGTAAGGCCCTAAGCAACTCAGCAAGACTCTGTCTCTAAATAAAATATAAAATGGCTGGAGCTGGGGGCTGAGGTGTGGCTTGGAGGTGAAGCACTTGTCTAGCATGTGTGGGGCACTGGGTTTGATCCTCAGTACCACATAAATATAAATAAATAAATAAAATAAAGGTATTGTGTCAACCCATAACTAGAGGAATAGATGTTTAAAAAAAGGGGGGGGGGGAGCGGGGGCTGGGGATATGGCTCAGTGGTTAGGCTCCCCTAGGTTCAATCCTTGGTACCAAAAGTCAAACAAACAAGAAAAAAAAAAACACATTACAGGGCAACGGGAGAGAAAAAAATCAAACAGTATTTTATCCATGTGCCTCTAGACTGTCAACATGTTACTAAGAGGCTGAAAAGTCACTCATGACCAAAGCAATAATGGAAAAATAAAAGCAAAAGAGCAACCGTAATACATATATGCCCTAAAATGGTCTGAAAGGAGACAGACACAAGGAATTAGAGTAGGAAATGGGATGGGGGAAGAAAGGATACTTCTCACAATCTTGTAAACCAGTTTGATTTTTCTTTTTCTTTTTTTTTTTTTTAACAATAAGTACATACTACTGAATTTTCACTTGTTGTTTTACTTTTAAAACATGCATACTGTTTTGCCACTGATTTTATCCACTATTTGGACTACAACAGAGTTAGAAGCAGAGCATGCCCACTGTCATAACATCCAGCAAATCCTCATCTACTTGTTAGTTCTCAAATACACCTTACATGTTAATGAATATATAATATACACTGAAATCCCAAATTTCTTTCCAGAACTCCCACTTACATACTTACCTGCCTCCTAATCAGCTTTTAGATCCCATGGGCACTGGAAACTCAACAAATCTAAAGCTAAACTTCTTATCTCACAATCCTAACCCTTCCCTCAATTAAAACCTGATCCTAACCCTTGAGTTACCTGTTTTGGTCAAGAGCATCACCCTGCAATTTGCCCAGCAGCCCAAGTTTGGAATCAGTCATCTTTAACTCTACTTCATTTTCTACTTCCACTCAGAACTAGGAATGAACTTTTGTGCCTTTGTTCAAGATCATCTTGTTTGGCACCAGGGAATTGTTTGTTGTTGTTTTATTTCTCCTCCCCCCCCCACCCTGCCCCGCTCAGGATTGAACCCAGGGGCACTTTACCACTGAGCTACATCCCGGGTCCTTTTTTTTTTTTCTTCTTCTTCTTCTTTAGTTGTAGTTGCATAGAATACCTTTATTTATATGTGGTTCTGAGGATCAAACTCAGGGCCTCACATGCGCTAGGCAAGCACTCTACCACTGAACCATAGCCCCAGCCCCATTCCAGGTCCTTTTTTAAAAATTTGAGAAAGGGTCTTGCTAAATTGCCCAGGCTGGCCTTGAACTTGGAATTCTCCTGTCTAAGCCTCCCAAGTGACTTTGATTACAGGTGTATGCCTCCACTTCAGGCTCTGGCACCAGGGAATTTTGAGGAGACTGAAAATGTATGTATAAAATACAATATACACACAAGTTAAAATTCATGGGAGTTATAAGTAACGTAGCGAGATCCTGTCTCAAAACATTAAGCTGGGCATGGTGGCACACGCCTGTAATCCTAGCAGCTCGGGAGGCTGAGACAGGAGAATCAGGAGTTCAAGGCCAGCCTCAGCAATGGCCAGGTGAGGCACTAAGCAACTCAGTGAGACCCTGTCTCTAAATAAAATACAAAATAGGGCTGGGAATGTGGTTCAGTGGCCAATGCCCCTGAGTTCAATCCCCAGTACCAAATAAACAAATAAATAAATAAATAAATAAAACATTAAACAACAACAAAATGGAGATTTGGCTCAGTGGTTAAGTGTCCCTGGGTTCAATCCCTGGTATCCCCCCAAATTAAAGACTGAGTATTTAGTTCAGTGGTAGAGTGCCACTAGGTTCAATCATCAATACTGTTCAAAACAAAACA